AAGATAAAATTTCCTTTCATATTTATAAACTATGTAAGACTCCTTAGATTTTACAGAATACTACATATAATTTTATTTTATTTTTTAATTTTAGAAGATTATGAGTATTATTTGTAAAGTTGATAAAAATCCCATCATCTATTTTGGCATATTGACAAAACTTCTTTCGGCTGCTGTGGTCGTTGGTTACCAAAAACAGCAACATTTGACTCACCTTGTGGAGTCCAATCAAGCCGCCCTTTTGTCCTTCCTAAAATGGTGGTTGCTCAAGACAAAATGAACACTTCGAATTTGTCTTCTCGTGGTCAGAAGTGATTAGATACAAGACCATACCTTGTTTGTATCAAAGAGAATTAATTGCATGTTAAATCATGGCTGATGTGGTTGTTTAACACAGCTCGGGATTAGTGGGAAAGAGTGTGAGTGGTTTTGAGAGAGTGTGTAGTAAGAAAAGTATTGTATCAATCCTCTCAACCTCAATTATTCCCATCTCCATGCTTGAGTGAGTGATATTCACTATTATCTTACCGGAGAGTTCGTCAGTCGAAGGGAAATCGGAGTTCCGATCAGGAGAACATTCAAAATCTGAGCTGCCCAGCTATGTGTTAGTTGTCAGTATGCGTTTGTGACAACGTATGCCTGTGGAGGGAATTTCCTAGGTAATTAGCTTGTAGTTTGCGGTGAAGGAGGTTTGGGTGTTTTGTTCTTAATCAGCACTGATTAATGAACCTCTCCTGGATTGGTATCCCCCAGCTGTAGGATGGTTTATATCCGAACCGGGTAAACAAATAACTTTTCATTTATTGCTTTGAAAGTCTTGCATTTATTTCATTGACAAGTTGCCGTTATAACTATGATATAACTACGCTTCGGGAGTTGGCCCATTTCAATAAGTGTACGAGAATTTATTGGTGCAACACTTATTCTCAATCCAACATTTGGTATCAGAGCATTGTTCTCTAAGTTGCTGAGTAGATTCTTTCACAGTTTGCAAAAATGAGTAAGGAAGGTCGATCTACGTCGAGACCTCCATTGTTCGATGGAACAAATTATCGAAGTTGGAAGAACAAAATGGAAGCTTTTCTGATGTTACAAGGTGAATATGTTTCTGAAGTTGTTGAGTCTGCATGGTCTTATCCTATGAAGACCATCCAAGATGAAGACAATATCATCTCTCTTGTGAAGAAACCCAAAAGAGAATGGACTCTCAATGAAAAGGCGCTGCAATCGCCAACTCGAAGACAATATCATCTCTCTTGTGAAGAAACCCAAAAGACAATATCCAACTGCAAAGTTGCTAAGGAAGCATGGGACATTTTGGAAAATGCATTCGAAGGTTCTTTTCAAGTTCGAGAATCAAAATGGATCATGTTGAAACTTTGTTTGAAGGACTGAAGATGAATGAAGATGAAACAATTGATGCTTACCATAACCGATTCATGGATGTTGTGAATCAAGCTGAAGCTCTTGGAATGCACTTTGAAGAGAAGAGACTGGTGAGAAAGATGCTTAAAAGTCTTACAAAAAATTTCAGGCCCAAAGTGATTATGTTCGATGAACCACCAAAGCTAAGAAATATGACATTGGATGAACTGTATGCTATATTGGTGAGCTATGAAATGACCTATCTTGAAGATGAAACACCTAAGAGTGTGGCTTTGAGTGCTGAAGACTTGGAGATGATAGAGTTTGATAAAGAAATGACACTGCTGAGTCGTAAACTTTCTCGAATGATTAGTGAAAAACGAGCTGCTAAGATGAAGTATAGGAAGTTTCAGAACAGAAATAGCTATCAGGGAGGAGGTACATCCAGTTCTCAACGAAAGTACCCTGAGCAGAAACCAACTACATATAGCAAGCCAAAAGAAAGATTTGATGGTGGATTTAAGAAGTTTGTGGTGTCTGCAAAACCAGAGACGGTTCAAGAACCTACATGTTATGGATGTGGTGGTGTTGGACATATTAAATCTGAGTGCCCAACGGTAAAGAAAAGGGAGAAAAGAGCATATCAAGCTACCTGGAGTGACAATGACGATGGTGAATCTGCTGGTGGTGATGAATAGACTGAAAATCATGAAGTTGTTGCATTTATGGAAAATGCTGATGAATCCAGCGATGAAAAGGAAGAATCCAGTTCTAAAACTACTGATGAGTCAAGGGAACTTGATGCTGATGAGCTGATTGAGGCTTATGAAGAGATGGTTTTCGAACAAAAGAAAGTTGTTGTGAAGAATAAAGAACTTCTGGATACCATTTATTGTTTGGAAGATCAAAAGGAGAAACTTGAAGATGAACTTGAGAAGATGAAGATTATTGATAATAAATCTGCTGAATCAGAGAGGTTGAAGTCTGAGAATCTGAAGTTGAAGGATGAAAATGATAGGCTTCGGAAAGGAAAAGAAAAAATAGATGAAGTCCTTTCAATTGGTAAACCATTTGGTGATCACAAAGTATTAGATTTTTGTGAATCATCTCAAAGTAAACCAACTACATTTGTGCGTGGCGGTCTGCTTACAGATGTCAAACTCCCAGAGAAGAAATCAACACAAGTGTGGAAACAAAATCCAAGGAAGAGCAGAGGCAGAAACATGAATAGAAACCGCAGAAGAATTCAGAATGATAAGTCAAAGTTATCACAACCTACTGACTGCAAGTATTGCATGTATCCTGGTCATTCTACTGTGAAGTGCTTGAAGCTGGCAAAAGATGTTATCAATGGAAGACACATTCAATGGCCTACTGAAGGTTTGAAACAGAACATAAAAGTCAAATTGGTATGGATGCCTAAGGAAACTCAGAAACAACTGGAGTGCAATGTGATCTTGTCAAGCCAAGAGTCTACCCGAGCTGATCGATGGTACTTTGATAGTGGTTGCTCAAGGAACATGACTAACCAAAAGGGAATTCTGAAGAATTTTGTTGAAGACCGAAGTGGAGAAGTCATTTTTGGAGATGGAGCAAAAGGAAAGATCAGTGGCTATGGTGTTCTTGAAAAAGAAGGGATTCCAAGATTGTTAAAAGTCTATTTCGTAGAAGGACTGAGTACAAATATGATCAGTATAAGTCAACTCTGCGATGACGATCTGCATGTGAAGTTCACTAAGGATTCATGTGAAGTTTATGATACTGCACAGAAATGTGTGATGACTGGAGTTCGATCAAAGAAAAATTGTTAGTTGCTGGAATATCCTCAAATGGAAGCACTGATATTGAAAGATGATGAATCAATGTTGTGGCACACCAGGTTGGGTCATGTCAATCCACAGAATCTGCTGAGGATTAGCAAAATTGGAGCTATCAGAGGATTACCCAAATTTTTGAAGATTCCAAGTACTACTTGTGGTGACTGTGCAAGAGGAAAACACAGCACATTCCTCATTAGAACAACGTTTCAGCAGCGATTGTCTGGAGCTGCTACATATGGATCTCATGGGTCCAGTTGATGTCTGCAGTCTTGGGGCAAAGAAATACATCTTGGTCTGTGTAGACGACTTTTCTAGATATACATGGGTCGATTTCTTACGTGAGAAAAGTGATGCAGTTGATGCTTTTGAAAAATTGGGTACAAGACTCATGATTGAGAATAAGTCGAAGATTAATAGATTGAGAACAGATCATGGAAAGGAATTTGAAAATCAGAGATTTGCTGGTTTTTGCAATGGATTGGGAATCAAGCATGATTTTTTTGCCCCAAAGACTCCAGAACAGAACGGAGTAGTGGAGAGGAAGAATCGAACTCTAAAGAAAATGGCTAGATATGCATGCCAATGGTGTTGCCAAACATTTGTGCGCTGAAGCTATTTACACAGCTTGCTATGTGTTTAATCGAGTTTATCTCAGACCTCATACAGAGAAGACAACTTATGAAAAAAATCTGGACAGGGAAGAAACCAAATGTTTCTTACTTTCATACCTTCAGGTGTAAGTGTTATATAATGAAGGACAGGGATCAACTTCATAAGTTTGATACTCGATCAGATGAAGGTATATTCTTGGGATACTCTCTGAACTCGAGAGCTTATAAAGTATTCAACAATCGTACCAAGAAGGTGATGGAGTCCATGAATGTGATATTCGATGATACCATTTTTGAGAATAAATCTATACATTCAAATGATGATGATGATGAAACTGCACCTGTTAAGGTGACTCAGAATCCTCAAGATGTTCAGAACATTCCCCAAATTCAGAATGATTTGCCTCAGACTAGTGACAATATGGCTACAGAAAGTTCTGTCAGATTTGATTGGTCAGAACCAGAATGTTCAACGGATGTAACAACAACCAATCAACAACCTGCTGAAACTGAATCTGATGCAGAAGTGAGAAGATATGGTTCCAGAGTTCCACACAATCATCCAATTGATGCAGTTTTTGGTGATCCAATGGGTGGTCGACTAACTCAAGGTAAACAGATTGATTTCAAGAATCTGTCTGGTATGAATTGCTTTATTTCCGCAGTTGAGCCAAAGACAGTAGATGATGCTCTCAAGGATGAATATTGGATCAAAGCAATGCAAGACGAGCTGAATCAATTCACAAGAAATCGAGTTTGGTATTTGGTTGAAAGACCAACTTATGTGAATGTCATTGGAACTAAGTGGATCTTCAAGAACAAGTCAGATGGAAAAGGAAATGTTACCAGAAATAAGGCAAGGTTAGTTGCACAGGGGTACACGCAAATTAAAGGTGTTGACTACGATGAAACATTCGTTCATGTTGCTCACATTGAAGCAGTGAGATTGTTAGTGTCTGTTGCATGTTCCTTGGGATTTACTTTTTACCAGATGGACGCCAAGACAACATTTTTGAATGGATGGATTAAAGAAGAGATCTATGTAGAACAACCAAAGGGATTTGAGGATCCTTTCTATCCAGATCATGTTTACAGGTTGCGGAAAGCTTTGTATGGATTAAAGCAAGCACCCAGAGCGTGGTACGGAAGGTTGTCCAATTATCTACTGGAGAATGAATATGTTTGAGGATCAACTGATAAGACGATGTTCATCAAGTTGAAGGGAAAAGATTTGATGATTGCACAGGTGTATGTTGATGATATTGTGTTCGGTTCTACCGCTGAATCCTTGAAGAATGAATTCATAAAATTCATGGAAGTTGAATTCGTAATGAGCATGATAAGTCAGCTTAATAATTACTTTCTGGGATTGCAGGATAAACAACTCGCTGATAGTTTTTTTCTGAGTCAAACAAAGTATGCTCAGAACATGGTTGAGAAGTTTGGACTTCGAGATTCAAAAGGAGTTAGAACTCCTTTAGGACAACAAGATAAATTGTCGAAAGATGATGATGGAAAGACAGTTGATCAGAAACTGTATAAAAGCATAATTGGGAGTCTTCTATACTTGACTGTTAGTCGTCCAGACATCTCCTTCAGTGTTGGTGTGTGTGCAAGATTCCAATCCACACCTAAGGAATCACATTTGAAGGCTGCAAAGAGAATTCTCAAATATGTCAAAGGAATTGAAGAACTTGGATTATGGTATTCAAATAGGTCAGATCTTGATCTTATTGGGTTCACAGATTCAGATTGGGCTGGTTGTTATGATGATAGAAAGAGCACAACCATTGGATGTTTTTATATTGGAGATAATATTGTGAGCTGGAGTTCGAAGAAGCAAAACTCTATTGCTTTGTCCACTGCCGAGGCTGAATACATAGCTGCTGGAAGTTGTTGTGCTCAATTGCTGTGGATTCGACAAATGCTGCATGATTATGGGATTGGTCACGATTCGTTCACTCTGTTTTGTGACAATACAAGCGCCATAAATATCTCCAAGAACCCCGTTCAACATGGTAGAACAAAGCACATCGACATACGGTACCATTTTATTCGAGACTTGGTGGAAAATGAAGTGTGTGATTTGAAGCATATTGGAACTAATGATCAAAAGGCTGATATTCTCACGAAAGCGCTACATGCAGATCGATTTGAGAAGCTACAAAGGGATTTGGGTATATGCTCAAGATCTCCTTGATGCTGCATACATGGATGAATAAATGAATATCTCCAATTTATTTTATTTCTTGATTTCTTTTTAGGTGGAAATTGGAGATTGGATATTATGAGAAAAACGAAATTTTGAAAATATCAAAAAGAAGGAGGATCTTTTGGTAAATAGAGATTATCTGAACGAGGGATATTATTGGTATTCTGAGAAGGGTTTAAAAAACCCCAAAAGGTGTTTTGACAACTTTGCACTGCAGTTTTGGCTGTCATCACAGCCTTATGGGAAATGTTGGTTCAGAAGGGGTGTTGAATTCAGAATTCAAACAGTTCCTTCGTTTCCCTCATTTATTGAGGATTCATATATCGATGCGTGTAGTGGTGATAATAATCACTCACTCTCTCTCAATTTCTCTCTACTTTTCACTCTTGCAATTTGCTCTCTGAGAAAGCAATGGCTCGAACCCGATTTGGAGGCGAAACAGGGACGGGCAGAGAAATTTTTCGTGGACGTGGACGTGGGCGCAACAGAGGACGTGGGCGTCGTGGTGGGAGAATAATTTCTTCTCCTCTTCCCAGTGAATCTCCGGCTCCCGTGGTTGTTGCTGAACCACTCCCTGAGATTCCAACGACGTCTGAAGCAAGCGTGGAAGTACCAGTTGCAGTTACTGATATTTTGGCTCCTCATCCTCCTAGAGATCATCTTGATGAAACTGAGGAGACTGTTCAAAAAACCCTAGAGAAAACGCAAGTTGGCGGCCCGGATGATGGCATTTTTGGAGAACCTGAAACTACTCATTCAGGTAACCGTGATGAGGAAGGAGATACAACAATGGAACAAGATGTTGCTGAACCTGAACCCCGTGATGTTGCTGAAGAGGTTTTGGAGCGTTCTGAGGAAGTCCCTGGATCCGAAGTGCAGAGGAATGAAGCAGTTGTTCCTCCATCTGAAGTTGTTGTCGAAGAGGAAACTCCCATTCATCTTGAGGAACCCGCCATTGAACATGAAGGTGTCACTGCTAACCCTCATCATTCTCGCTCTGATGAAAGTCTCAATACCATTATCGATAGAACCGTTGATCAACTCTTTTCTGAGAGGATGGAATATGAAAACGCTGTTATCACACCGGTATCACATTCAATGGGAACAAAGTCTGATGATTCAGGCAATGCTCCTCTTGCTCGACTGAAGAAACGTCATGACGAAAGATGGAGTAAGAAAATGAAGGCCACTGTTGATTCTCCCGGTCCCTCATGAAAAAAAATCAAGCAAGTTACTTCCAAGAAGGGACATAAGTCAAAGAAATCCAAATCTCGCAAGTGCAAGATCACACCTCCACCGATTACTGCTGAAGAAGCAATGAACGCAACCCACTTTGACGATGCCGCAGAATTGTTTGAATATGATGTTTTGGCCAATCGCAAGCTTGTCCCAGAGGCTCGCTTCACTGACCCGATTCACAAAGATGTTGGTTTTCTTGCAGTCTTACGGATGAAAGGATTGCGCCAGTGGGCAGTGTTGCTCAAACGATATTGTCTGAAGTTAGTCAGAGAATTCTACGCCAATCTTTCTCGGAACGTTTTGGATGAAGAAAGCCCTTGGTTTCACAAAGCCTATGTACGAGGAAAAGTGATTGAGCTTAGCCCGCAGGTGATCAACAATTTGTTGAAGCTCCCGAATGACAATTCTGAAGAATTTCCTTCCACCCTGCTTAGAGAAACAAAATGAGAAGTTGCTCTTCGGTTGTCTGCATGGAAGTCCGATGACTTCGGTCGAATGGGCTTGGCTGCCACAGAACTCGCCATGAAGTATCAATGCCTCTTTCACTTCTGCGCCATGAATGTTCTTCCCACGAGTAATGGGACGAACATTGGCTACGAAATGGGTAAATTACTCCTCTGCATTGATAAATTCTGTACTGACATCAATTTCAGTTTTTTTGTTCTCTCAAAGATTGTGAAGTATGTTCGTGGGAAAACGTTTGACAAGACCAATCTCCCGTACCCTGCCCTTATCACCCTGCTGTTGAAAGAAAATAGCATTCTGCCGGAGCCCTCGGAAGACACCATTGAAACCAGCTTCTTCAAGCCCCGCTCGAACCTACAGAAAATCTTTAATGATTTCAAGGAGCCCTTTCCATCTGATCCTTTGGGACAACTTCTGGAAGCACGTCGGTTGCTTCTAGAAGTCCTTCAGGAACAAGTTTCAATCCGCTCGACCTTGGGAGAACATAGGAAGAAGATCATCTGTGTTCTTCATTTACACTCCAAGTTTGCATCCGGTCCTGAAGAGGATGACATCCATGACTTTCTCTAGCTTCCCAGCCTTTTTTTGCATCTGCTCCACGCAAGGGGGAGAGATGCAGGAGAGAGGGGGGAATGCTGCATCACCAGAGAAAGGGGGAGTTGCTTCTGCATGCCTGTTGTCGTTGTTGGTTGTCTGCTATTGCTGATTGGAAATGTTGTTGTTGTTTTTGGTTCTGTGATTACTGAATTGTGGTTGTCTCAACTTTCTGATTTGTATAGGCTGTCTGTAGCCTTATTTTGTTTGTTGGCCTGTAACCTAACTTTAACTTGTTTTTAATTATAGGATTGATTTGCTGAGTGTGGAAGATAACCTCCTGCATTGTGTGTGTGGTCAAATATGCCAAAAATGGGAGATTGTTAAGTTGATCAAAAACTCGATCATCTATTTTTGGCATATTGACAAAACATTTTTCTGCTGCTGTGGTCGTTGGTTACCAAAAACAACATTTAAATCAGCTTGTGGAGTCCAATGAAGCAGCCCTTTTGTCCTTCCTAGAATGGTGGCTGCTCAAGACAAAATGGACACTTTAAATTTGTCCTCTTGTGGTCAGAAGTGATTAGATACAACACCATACCTGATTTGTATAAAAGGGAATTAATTGCATGTCAAATCATGGCTGTTGTGGTTGCTTAACACAACTCGAGATTAGTGGGAAGGAGTGTGAGTCGTTTTGAGAGAGTGTGTAGTAAGAGAAATATTGTATCAATCCTCTCAACCTCAACCCTTCTTATCTCCATGCATTGAGTAAGTGATATTCACTATTATCTTGCCGGAGAGTTCGTCAGTCGAAGGAAAATCGGAGTTCCGATAAGGAGAATATTCAGAATCTGAGCTGCCCAGCTATGTGTTAGTTTTCAATACGCGTTTGTGACAACGTATGCCTGTGGAGGGAATTTCATAAGTAATTAGCTTGTAATTTGGGTTGAAAGAGGTTTGGGTGTTTTGTTCTTAATCAGCACTGATTAATGAACCTCTCTTGGATTGGTATCCCCCGTATGTAAGATGATTTATATCCGAATCGGGTAAACAAATAACTTGTCATTTATTGCTTTGAAATCCTTGCATTTATTTCATTCACAAGTTGTCGTTATAACTGTGATATAACTACGCTTCAGGAGTTGACCCATTTAAATAAATGTATGAGAATTTATTAGTGCAACACTTATTCTCAATCCAACATTATTTATTTTTATTTTTTTAAAAACGATGAATCCCATACCAGGGGATCTTTTTAAATTGTTCTCTAAAATATAATAGCATCTCATATAATTTTTAAATTATAAAAGCAAATAGTGCATACTCGGTGACCCACAGGTGGATTAACAAATTCATAATGTATTTTCTATTTTTACCTTTTACATTTGTTATTGTTTATGCTATTGATAAAAAAGAAGGGCTTTTAGTTATATTAATAAACTGTACATATACTTTAACATTTTATGATTTTTTGAAAAACTTGTAAAATTCTAAAACTATTGAAACTAGAAAGTAATGACAAATTACGGCTTCTAAAATTCTAAAACTATTGAAACTAGAAAGTAATGACAAATCTGTTTTTTTAGTATTTCAAATCAAAATCATAATTATTTATATGGCATAGTTTTTAAGAAAATTTATTTTTTATTTTTTCAAAATATTATATTAAATACTATTTAAATAAAAATTCAAATGAACACTTCATTTCAAATAAATTTTGAATCAACACAGACTTTGTTTATATAGATATTTTTGTAGTTTTGAAATTTTAGATAATTTTAGAAATAGTAAAAACTGGAGTATTCGATACGATATTTTATAAGCAAAAATAATTATTTTATATAACTTTTCTTTGAAAAAATTACAATTCATCTTTCGGCCTAGTTTATTGTTTCCCTTATTTTGATTTATTCAAAATATAAAATTACAAAAAATAAAGATAAAATTTTAAATATTTTGAATAAAATAATTATTTATAAAAATATTTTAAACAAAAATAATTATATTTTAGATTAAAAATATATATTGAATATAGTATACCTGTGTCTATATAAAATTATAATTTGTATAATTATATATTTTTTGAAAATGAAAATAACACAACAAACAATATCAGACCCTTAGAAAGTGTGAAACCAATCGGAATATGGAGAATAATATTGAGGGGTCACAAAGTGAAAAATTGTCCATATTTATTTCATTGATATAAATTTGTGGGGCATTAATTAATGCTAATTATTTATGACATAAATATGACTTTATTTATCTAATATGTTTTTGGCTTTTTTTAATAAATATATATATTTTTTTATATTAAATATGAAAATTATGTTATTAATATAGTTAATAATATTTGTGTGTTTGAATTATTATTTTTTTATAAGTGCATATAATATATATTGTATTTCTTTTATATTACTTTTAATATGCATAATTATTAATAAAAATATTTTAAAACAGTAAAAATAAATATTTTAATTGGTAATTTTAGAGTTGTTACGTACGAAATTTAGAATTAGGTTAAAAGCCCAAGGTAAAAAGAAGAATGGGCCTGACAATAGGGTTGATTGAACTGGCTGAAAGACACCGTGAGGAAATCAAGGAAAATAGGTTTATTTCTAAGGAAAATACAAGACGGAAAGTCTTCAGGTCGGGAGGTCCTCAAGACGGAAAGTCATCAAGACGGAAAGTCTTCAGGTCGGGAGGTCCTCAAGACGGAAAGTCATCAGGACGGAAGGACCTCAGGT